CGTGTGTACTAAGTGAAGTAGAAACTCCGAAAGAAGAGGAAAGAGGTAGCGAGATTTATTTATTTATTTTTTTTTTTTTTTTTTTTTTTTAGAAGAGGGGGCAAACGAGCATGTGGCTCACCTGATGTTAAGTGACTACCGCCGCCCATGATCAACCGCAACACCAGGGGAATTGCAGATGCGTTGCCGGCCCTTTAGAAAGGAGTAAGCTCTTTTCTTGAAGGTCCCCAGGTCGTATCGGTCCGGAAAAATCACCGGTGGTAAATTATTCCACAGAGAGGTTGTACGCGGAAGAAAACTCCTTTTGAAACGTACAGTGGTGGACCGCCAAGCATCCAGATGGTGTGGATGGTATCGGGACGTTTGCCGTGTAGTGCGTTCACGAAATTTGGCGGCTGGGATTAATCCGAACAATTCCTCAGAGCACTCCCCGTGATAGATGCGATAAAATACGCAAAGAGATGCAACATCTCTTCGCAGCGCCAGTGAATCGAGCCGATCGGAAAGCACTCGGTCGTCGACGATTCGAGCCGCTCTGCGCTGGATGCGGTCAAGTGGAAGGAGCTGGTACTGGGGAGCCCCAGCCCAGAGATGGGAACAGTATTCCATGAGCGGCCGAACCTGCGCCTTGTAAAGTTTCAGGCGGTGTGCCGGCATGAAATACTGTCCCGCTCTGCTGAGCACGCCAAGCTTTTTAGAGGCCAATTTGGCCTTCCCTTCCAAGTGACCACGAAACTGCACGTCACTCGATATGTCGACGCCGAGGATTCCGATACTGGCTGAGGCAACAAGGGGAGTGCCTTGAAACTGAGGGGATACGACAAAGGGGTTCTTTTTAGCGGTTAACGCGCAAACTTGTGTCTTCTGGGGGTTAAACTGGACTAGATTTAGTCGCCCCCAATCCGAGACTCTGTCCAGCAGAGACTCGACTTCAGACACAAGTTTGTCCCGGCACTCAGAGACGTTTTCCCGAGAAATATTTGCTCGGCCGGTGTAAAGAGCATCACCAGTGCTGTCATCTGCATAGCAATGAATGCTACGGGTTTGCAACATATCATTGATATGCAGAAGAAACAGCGTTGGCGATAGCACGCAGCCCTGTGGAACACCAGCATTAATAAGCTTGCAATCGGAGCTTGCACCGTCTACAACGACCTTGATGCTCCGATCTGCAAGAAAACTGGTGATCCAATCGCACAATTTCTCGGGAAGCCCATAGGAAGGGAGCTTCGAAAGAAGCGCTTTGTGCCAAACCCGATCGAAGGCCTTCGCAATGTCCAAACTAACGGCCAATGCCTCCCCCTTGGACTCTACTGCCTCCGCCCATCTGTGAGTTAGGTAGACCAGAAGATCACCAGCTGACCTACCACGGCGAAAACCGTATTGGCGGTCACTAATCAGCTGGTGATCCTCAAGGTACCTCATGAGCTGGCAGTTTACAATGGACTCCATTGTTTTGGAGAACAAGGAGGTGATGGCGATAGGCCGGTAGTTGGACGGGTCTGAGCGGTCGCCTTTTTTAGGGATCGGGTGGACGAAAGCCGTCTTCCATGATTTTGGGACTACGCCTAGGGAGTAGGAGTACCGGAAAAGACGCGTTAAAACCGGTGCCAACTCTGGAGCACACGTCCTCAGCACAATTGGGGGGATTCCATCAGGCCCACTCGACTTATGGATGTCCAGGGAGAGGAGTGCTTTGCGAACCGAGCGCTGAGTGAAGTGCACTTCCGGCATGGAGCACTCACACCGCGGGATGGTCGGCGGCGTACTCCCCCCGTCATCGAGAGTCGAGTTAGACGCAAAGAAAGAGCCTAGAAGATCGGCTTTCTCCTTTGCGGTGTGGGCCAGTGAGTCGTCCTCCCTGTGCAGAGATGGAAGAGATGGCTGACAGAAATTCCCCTGGACAGCCTTGGCGAGAGACCAGAATGCTCGGGTTCCAGAAGGAAGACGAACTAGTCTCTCGCCAATTCTGCCTATGTGCTCTGACTTTGCCTTGGCAATGACTCTTTTGAAGGACCTAGAGGCGGAATTATACTTCTTTTTTAGAGCGCTGGTGTTTACATCCCTGGACGCTGATGCGTCAGCCCAGGCTTGGTAGCACTCCTGCTTATAGCATGATGCTATTTTACAGGAGTGACCAAACCATGGCTGAGATTTGCCTCCAATGGGCACCACAGAGGAAGGAATAAAAAGTTCCATACCCTGAAGTACCACATCAGCGACAGAATCCGCAACAACGTTGGGATCATCCGGCGAGAAGCAAACCCGCCCCCAAGGGTAGGATGCAAAGAAAGACCGCATCCCATCCCAATCGGCTGACCTATAGTGCCAAACACGGCGGCAGCCTACAGAATGCAACCGCGATTTCAGCGTGAGTGGCACCACACTCCGGACAAGACAATGGTCCGAGGAGCCTAAAGGGGGCGTCGACGGAAATCTGATATCCGTCCGGGTGAGAGGTCAGCAGAAGGTCCAACAGGGAAGGTGCATGATCCTCCACATCTGGAATCCGCGTAGGCGAAGTAACCAGTTGTGTCAGACCATATGCCAAGGCAAAATCATGAACAGATCTCCCCCGCATGATCGGTTAAACGTGAACCGAGCCATTCGGCGTGATGGGCGTTGAAGTCGCCGAGGATCACGATCTCTGCGGAGGGGATCTGCTGTAGCAACGAATCTGCAGCCATTTGGACGTGGTCGAAGAGTCGGTCTGTTTCGGCATTACCGCTATGGGACCTATAGAGGCACCCGTAGACGCGCGGATGGTCGTCGCTGTCTACGCGTAGCCAAAGGATGGACAGGTCCGAACCTTCAAGTCTGCCGAGGCGTCGAGAACAGATGTCCTCTCTGACGTAAACGCAAACTCCAGCCCGAGGCACAAAGGAGTGTTCCAGTTTGTACCCCGGGCAGGAGAGATACGAGACATCAGCCGGAGAGGACACCTGCGTCTCGGTCAGAAAGAGCAGAGCCGGCCTCGCCGTCTCGAGATGGTAGTGGACGGCGTTTAGGTTAGAGTGAAGTCCCCTGATATTGCAGAAATTCACGGACAGCGTGGCAGGGGTCGCCTTGGTCTTGTTGCTCCGTTTGCCCCGAGCAGTTTTAGTCTTGAGCGGAATATTGCCCCCCCCCAGAATACGCGGGGTAGCCTGAGCACCCACGCTCAGAAGTGGAGAAACATGGTCGTGGATGCTCAGCGAGGGATTCTCCAGGGTTGCTGGTACCCTCCTGGGGTAGTCTATCATTTAATTCCGCTACCATGTTGATGGGGGGGGGGGGATTTGGGCCTCCGGCCACCTGCACTCACCAGACGAAACGCGGAAGCAGAGCTTCCACTTCACGCCGGTATTCTGTGAGGTCGTGGTACCACCCCGGTTTGAGCCGGCCCATACGTGCGACAGCAAAGCTGCCGCGTGGCTCTACCACTGTTAAAATTATTACCACTGTTAAAGTTATTTATTTATTATGACACATCAACAGCATAACAAACAATACATTTATATGCAAATCTTACATAAAACAAAGGCCTGGTATGTACGCTAATAAAGACGTGTACAACATTCTCTTAAAATCTAAGACATGTTATTATAAATACGAATATTAGAAAACAAAAAAAAGCACAAAAATAGTACACAGATTATCAAAATAATTTTACAAAATTTTAAGAAATTTTAAGAACCTACTTAGAGAGCAGGTACACAGATAACTTCTTTCTCAAACTAATGCATGAGTCATGAAAAATGTCAATGTCAACAAATACACATACCCGGTTGTATTCGGCGCAAATTTTTGATATAGGCGAATTTTTTAAGAGGTTTGTTCTACTGGCAGGGATGTAAAAGTTTTTAGTAATAGGATGGCGTGGATAGTTGCATGGGATGTTAAGATTAATGCACTGAAGTAGGTTATTACAATCTACGGCACCAGAAATTATTTTTTTTAAAAACAATATATTTAACAATACACGACGGTCACAAAGTGACATCATTGCGAAATGTTTGAGACGAACGTTATAGGTGTTACGGTGGGAAATGCCCGAAGAATGGAACGCAAGATGTCTAGTAAATGAACGCTGTATGCTTTCAATGCGTTGGGAATAAGTGATAAACTGAGGACCCCAAACCACCGATGCAAACTCTAGGTGACTTCGAACCAAGGCGTTATATAAAATTATTTTGGTTTTGGCTGACATAAAACCTTTAGCGTTTCGTTTTAGGAAGCCAAGCATTCTTCCAGCTTTTTGGACGGTAGCGTCAATGTGAGACTTAAAATTTAATTTGCTATCCACTATTACGCCTAAATCTCAAACTTCTTTAACCTGCTCCAAGGTATCAGAGTTCATCTTATAGGAGGACATGAAAGGTATAGACTTTCTTGAGAATTTAATGTGATATGATTTTTTAGTATTAAGTATCATACCATTTAATTGACACCATGTACTAATTCTGTTTAAATCACTTTGGATGAGTTGCACGTCTACAATAGATTTTACTGTTTTGTATATTTTTAAATCGTCAGCAAAAAGACAGAATTCAGAGTTGCGTATTTCAAAAGTTATGTCATTGATAAAGGCAGCAAAAAGGACTGGACCCAGATGCGATCCTTGCGGAACGCCTGAGAACGCTATATAACTTTCTGATTTGTAACCATTCACTACCACAAACTGAAGTCTTTTTGCTAAATAAAACTGGAACCATTCTAGCAAAGATCCACATACCCCATATCTTTTTAGCTTGTTAATTAAGCGCGAGTGACAGACTTTATCGAATGCACTAGAAAAATCCATATATATAGCATCAACTTCCTGTTCTTTGTCAATTTCTTTACAGAGATACGACATAAATGATACAAGGTTAGTTTCAATCGAATGGCCCTTCATAAACCCATGTTGATGGTCTGATATACATGCGCTTAAGTGACGCGTAATAATTGGACATATCAAGGATTCAAACAATTTAGGAATACATGAAATAATTGAAATCGGTCTGTAGTTACTAACGTCATTAATGACGCCTTTTTTTAAATACCGGAACGATCTTTGAATTTTTCCAAATATCAGGAAATACTCCATCACGCAAAGATTGATTGAAAATAATAGCCAGTGGTAACGCTAAGGCCGAGATACAACGTTTGACGAACACAGGGGGAATCTCATCTGGGCCAGCTCCCTTGAAAATGTCAAGCTTTTTGACTGCACCTATAATGTCTCTTTCAGTTAATTTTACAGAATTTAAACATGAATTATTGAACATAGATACGTCACCGCCGTCGTTTGCAGCCACTTTACTAAAAACAGATGAAAATTTGTTTGCAAACATTTGGGCAATATCTGGTCCGGTGTTTGCGACCTGATCAGCTTGATACATTATAGCTGGGATATTGGATACACCATTGCGCCTGTCCTTCACAAAACGCCAAAAGCTTTTTGGATTTTTAGAAATATCGCTTTCAATTCTTTTTTTAAAATTAAAAAGGCATTGACTACTTACATTATGAGCACGTTCGCGAAGAAGCTCGTATTCTAGTTGATCACGAGGGTTCTTATATTTCAAATATTTTAATGTTTTTCTGCTTTTCTCGGAAATTATTTTAATTAGGGAATTGCTAAACCACGAAGGAAATTTAGTTAGTTTAGGTCTTGTTTTAGGAATATAGGATGTTACGGCTATATTTAAAAAGTGGTAAAATATATTAGTCATTTCGTTAACATTTTGACATTTTTCTAGCTCCACTTGCCAGTTAATGCTCTTCAAGTAAGGTACAATATTGCCATAGTCTGCTCTAAAGTAGTTGTAACGATGGCTTATTATCGGCTTGAGGTACTCGGAAGTAAGTTTTGGGATCGATATCAAAATTGGAGGATGTTTTTGATCTACTTTGCTAAGCATACTTATAGATTTAGTAACATTTAAACAATCAACATTGGATAGAACTAGATCTAGTATTCTACCATCAACATTAGACACATCGTTCATTTGCGATAAATTATTGACAGCCATAAAGTCAATAAGAGAAAGTCCTAGATTCGAACCATAATTTGTTGCAATACATGGGTCACTATCCGACTTACGGGACCAATCAATAAAACCTAAGTTAAAGTCGCCCAATATTATGACTTTATCTGATATATCTATGATATCAGTAGAGTTTTCTAAAAAGCTAGATAAAGTTTCAGAAGAAACAGGAGGAGGTAAGTAAACGGCACAGATAGAAATTTTTTGGAGTGTGTCGTTAGTTTTAACATCAATAGATACCCATAAATCTTCTTCATTACTTTCCCAATTTGATTTTCGAGAAGAAGGAATATTTTTAGACACTGCAACCATCACACCTCCTCCGTCTTTCTTTGAACTCCTTGAGCATGATCTATCCTTTCTATATACAACGTAACGTTTATCTATAAATTCACTGTTCATTATATTACTATTCAACCATGTTTCAGTAAATACAATTAAGCTATAATTATTCATAAGTATATTTTTAAGAACATCCTCCGTTTTAGTCCTCAAACCTCGTACGTTTTGATAGTAAATTGTTACAGACATTTTGAAGGATAATCTATCGTAACATTGAGGTTCTAACACTAGACAATTAATTTCAAGCTTTCTTCGTGTTTAATATAGATGGCATGACTCTGTTCATGTTTCCGAACAAAGATCCTACCGTCCCGCACCCAAACAAATTTGGCGCCGGTCTCTTTTGCTTTTTTTCGAGCCGCCGTATGTAGGTGCTTATTTTTCGGTGTTAAATGTTCGCTAACATATACAGGCACTCGACGTCCACCAATTCCCAAATGCTCAGAGTTTAATTTGTTATCAGGATTCTTTTTATTAAACTTTGTTACTGAGATAAGTATAGATGAAATAATGAAAGCAATGAAAAGGATGAAAGCAGGTAAGGATGCCGGATATGATAGAGTTTCAATCGAAATGCTAAGGGCTGGAGAGGAAGTCATGGCAGGCCTGCTGCACACCTTGTTTAATTTATGCTGGGAACTGATGCGGGTACCGGTAGACTGGTGCAAAGCCGTGATAGTCCCAGTATATAAAGGAAAAGGGTCGCAGCAGGACTGTAAAAACTACCGTGGCATCAGCCTTCTTAGCATTGTGGGAAAACTGTATGCTAAGGTACTGATTGAAAGGGTCATGAAAGAAACTGATGGAAAAAATTGGGATGTGCAAGCGGGATTCAGAAAGGGAATGGGATGTACAGATTAAGTCTTTTTCATGCGCATGATCGCGGAAAAGTTTTTGGCCAAAAACCAAAAGGTTTTTTGTGCGTTCATGGACTTGGAAAAGGCCTATGACAGAGTGGATAGGGATCTGCTATGGCAAACACTGAACTCATTTGGGTTGAGCGCTGGCTTGATACAGGCATTGGAGTCTCTTTATAGGGACTCTAGTGCTTGTGTTAGGATCAACGGGGTCTACTCGGACTGGTTTGACATTCATAAAGGTGTCAGACAGGGCTGTGTGGCTTCCCCGTGGCTGTTCAACCTATTTATGGACAGTTGTTTGCAAAATTTGAAAGTTGAAGAATGCGGATTAAGAATGGGTGAGTTAACCGTCAAATGCCTTTTGTACGCCGATGATCAAGTTATCCTTGCGTCGTCGGCGGCCGAGTTGCAAATGATGGTTACATTAATGAACAGATCATTAAAAGAAAGGGGTATGAAAGTGAACGCAAGTAAGACGAAGGTTATGGTTTTTGAAAGAGAAGAAAGTAAAACGATTTGTGAAATAAGAATAGAAGGGGAGTTGATCGAGCAAGTAGATGAGTTTGTATATTTGGGCTGCGTATTTAGCAGGGATGGGAGATATGATAAGGATATAGAACGACGAGTGAATGCGGGAAATAGAGTAAATGGGGCCCTGCACTCTATTGTGAAGAGTCAAAATGTGTCAAAAAAGGCACGTATGGCAATTCACAATGCTGTGTTGGTCCCTACTTTAACGTATGGTAGTGAAAGTTGGGTGTGGCAGAAGAACCATGAGAGTAGAATCAACGCAGTAGAAATGCGGTCCTTAAGGAGTATGTTAGGGCTGAATCTGAACGACAGGGTAAGAAATTGTGTAATAAGAGAAGAGTTTGGTTTGCAAGATGATGTTGTGACCAGGATTAAGAAAGAAATGCTTCGGTGGTTTGGTCATGTGGAAAGAATGAATGAGGAAAGAGTGACAAAGAAAATTTGTGTTGCAGAAGTGAATGGCAGAGTCGGAAAGGGACGTCCTAGGCGAAAATTTATCGACCAAATTGGCGATTTATTGAAAACGGGCCAAATTAGGAGTACCCTTAACCGACGAACATGTATGCGTAGGTGTATGGATGTGAAGGAGGCGAGAGAGGTGTGTCAGGATCGTGCCAAATGGAAGTCTGTAGTATCTGCCTACCCCTCTGGGTGACAGGCGTGAGTGTTTATGTTATGTATGTTATCCTAAGTACGCGAACGAATTGGCATACCTAAGTGCTACTGAAATCAGATTTTTAAAAACGGATTTCAAAATCGGTTTTGATATTTTATATCGGATAAATTATAGCGTTGTGGCGACATGCACCTTTCTATTTTTGTTTATGTATTGAACGCAGGGGGGGGGGTACACTTCCATACTTTAGGTTGGGGTTCAATAATTTGCAAAGACACTAGTGCCATCTTGTACTATATCCCCATAAACTTTCGAACATTAAATTCTAAAAGGTCCGCTAGATGGCGACTACACAAATTCTGGTTATTCTGGAAACGACAAGTAGCAACTTTATATGTCATAATGGCTACCGACGCTGAGCAAGTTGTTGTTTTATTATAGTTTATAAGTGATTTTCGGTTGTTGCTACAATAAGTTTGGTTGACTTGGGATTAGCCCTCTGTTTCTTTGTTGTCTGTTTAAATTACCATGCTGGAATTACATTGTACGTTTGTGTAGTGTTGTGCGAAATAGACGCTTTCATTTATCATTCCGGTAACCCGTTGGATATATTTAATTTGGTTTGGTGTTGTATTTTGCGGAATAGACGCTTTTACATCGTGTATGTTAAATATATATAACAAAAATAAATGTTAATATTACTGAAATCTATAATACGTCTTTAATTGAACCCTAATCCCTTAAAATATAAATATAACCGCCTATAGTATAGCTGTATATACATAACTACGTACAGCTATCTATAGTCAACTAATTAGTTCAAGGGATATGATACCAGGCGGCGACACTATTCATATTGGGTGACAAAAATTCCTAGGAGATGGCTCTCTATTTCTGTATATATTACTCTACTCTATGATTGAACGTCGCACACGCCGACGCGATGTTCGTATCGGATGCTGTCGGGAATGCTCGGCTACGTTAGAGCCGCCTTCGTGACGGCCCGGGCGTCTTCGGTTTTCCCGGCAGTCTGCATCGAAACCGCCTCAGAGTTAGACCTCACGCTTTGCGCCGCCGGAGTAACGGTTGTCGTTCAAATAGCATAAATCTATTTTTTGGCTTGCATATTTTAAATGTCTTTTGTACATTTAATTAATTGTATTTAGTCTTAACTTCTCTTGTTTGGTGCTGTAATATCTGTGTTGCAAACTGTCCTTTGGTAAAAAGAAAACATTATATTCTTGGAAGAGTGAAAGGCGTTTCCATCATTGCCCAGCGTAACCTCCCACAACTGGTGACCCCGAGAAGAACATAGCGTACTAAGATTATCAAAAATGTGGCAAGAGGTTAGCACGGACGCAACTAAAAGCAGCACTAGTGGCAGTGAAGCGGTACTTTGCCGAGTAGGCATTAAGATGCCGCCATTTTGGCCCGAGAAACCGACGCTTTGGTTTGCACAGTTGGATTGCCAATTTGCATTAGCGAATATTACATCGGATGTCACAAAATATTATCATGCTATATCGGTGTTAGATCCGAAAATTGCTGCGGAAGTCGAAGATCTAATAATTAGACCACCGGCGAACGAGAAATACGACACACTGAAACGTGAGTTAATTGCCAGACCATCAGCTTCAAGAAGCGAGCAAATTAAGCAGTTGCTCATGAATGAGGAATTGGGAGATCGCAAGCCGAGCCAGTTTTTGCGACATATTCGTAGTTTAGCTGGATCAGGGTTCCCAGATGAGTTCCTGCGTACCTTATTGTCAAGCCGACTACTCAGTTTGCTACAAACTATAGTGGCTAAGCAAGATAACCTTCCGCTGGACCAACTCGCCCTATTAGCCGATAAAGTAGCTGAGGCCACGCCCCAAATGTCAGCACAACAAGTAGCTACCACATCCACTTTATGCTCGCATCCAGAATTTGAAGACCTAAATCGGAAGATTGATGCGCTGACCAAGAGGCTTGATGAAATGTCGACACCAAGCAGACGTCGTGACTTGCCGAAAAGAAGGTCGAAATCCAGCAGCCGGCGCCGCAGTCCGTCGAGAAGTCGTGCTCGCGCTGAGGGCCAGCGATACTGCTGGTACCACTTCAATTACGGCGAGAAAGCAGCTAAGTGTATAAAGCCTTGTACTTATTCAAAAAACTAGTTGAGCGGTCGCTCTCTGCGACCGCTGATGAGTGTAAGTCGAACGCTAAGCGTTTGTTTGTTACTGACGCATAAGTAAAGTGTAGTTTTTAATCGACACGGGATCTGACTTGTGTCAGTAGTAATTGAGCTTAGTGCGCATGCAGCGTCGCAACAAAACTAATAACGAGCTCTTTGCTGCAAATAATACTGTAATTGCTACATATGGTTGGTTAAGTTTATGTATAGATTTAGGTTTAAGACGTGCATTTTATTGGCGCTTTATAATAGCTGATGTAAGCAAACCGATAATAGGTTTAGACTTTCTATCCTTCTATAACTTACTTGTTGACGTGCGTAATTCGCGATTAATTGATAATTGCACTTCGCTTACATCAGTTGCCTCGATTGCATTTGCTTGCCCATGCCCTCACATAAAGTTCATTTCAGGTGATACATCGTTCCATCGGATACTTCAAGAATATCCTGATATAATGCGGCT